TAAATAGCCACTGATTTGTCTTGAAAGATGGATGAAGCCTGGAGCAGGAAGAAGCGACAGGATAGCTACGGACCATCGCTATCAGTAAAAAGCTTTCCAGCTGGCTTTTCTCCCAGCCCCTTATTTTAAAGCACTGCTCTCTGCAGAAATATTTCAGTTTTGAGCTGCTTATCGGTGCTGCAGGGTCTCTCTCTCTTTCTTTAACCTCCAGGCAAGGTAATGTACTGCCTCTTGCTTCGGAGAGATGTTTAGAGAGTTGCCAGGCTGCGAGCGGAGCAGAGCTGGCAGCCTGGAGCGGAGCCTGCAGCAGCAGTTCAGAACAGCCACCTGCATGCCACAGCATCTTCCCTCCTCCTCCTCTGCTTTGTGACCCCCCCAGAACTCAGAGCTATGGCCGCAAGACATCGTGCACAGCGTTCCCACCTGGTGAAGCGCTGCCCCACACGGTGAGGTTGATCCTGATGATGCTCAGCCCCCCAAGTGCCTTCGTACAGCAGAGCCAGGTTCTCTGGTTTAACTTTCCAAGGCACCAAACTCCCCAGGGGAAGACAGCTGCTCCTACAAGCTACGGCACGTGAGACCACCACTACGTTCACAGAAGACCCCTTCGCTTAGCGATAAATATTTTCAACCCACGAAGTTCAGCAATCAGATTAATTATTTGGCTTATTAAACACTGCTAAAACCTTGGCAATAGCGGCCAGTCCTACCCGTCCCTCCCTGCGCCCGCGGCTGCCCTCCTGCCATCCAACACATTTCAGCTATACCTGTAGTTAGTGCCAGGGTTTTCTTCCCAGCAAACCCGCCTGGTTTGCTTTTCTCTGCTGTCTGAAGGTCCAGAGAAGCTGGACAATATGTATTAAATAAAAATGCCCTGGTAGCAAACCCCTGCGCAGCTGATCCCCCCGGGTCTGATCCTGTCAGCAAACCTCAGTTCAAATCCTTTTACAAATGTGTCAGGGAGCTCATAAAAGGGGGGTGGGATGGGGGGGTGGTGGTGGTGGTGATGTGAGGACTGGCATTCTCTGTACAATGTGGTAAAAACAAACTAGAGGAAAGAGAGAAGCAAACCCAGCTTCATTCCGGCTGGTGCCGGAGCCCCGGCAGTGCCTCGGGGAGAGACGCAGACCAGCACCTCTGCTCCCTCGGTTGGAGAATTCACACAAGCAGCAGAGAAGTTATAAAAGATCTCTTGCTTAGCATACGGGGATGTATACAGGAAAGGAGAAAGAGCTGCACAAGTGTTCCTGGGTGACATCATTGCCCCCTGCCAAACATCGTTATGTTTTTATACATCTATAAGCAAGAACAACCCCTCATAGCCTCTCCTCGCAGGGCAGTTCAGGGCCGAGCCCAAGCAGAAAGCTCTGCTCTGGGCCCTCCCCGCCTTCAGCCCGCGCGTGCTTTGCACAGCGCCCCGTGCCACTGCGTTTTCATCGCACCTTCTTCTGCCTTCCTGCACTATCCACCTGCCCATACTCACCCCCTTCGTCAAAAAACTCCTACGATTGTATTTACACCTGCTGAGTCAAAAGCTGGGGATGATGCCCACCTGATCGCTCCGCGCGTGCCCTCCACCTGCCCAGCTCTGCTCTGCGTTGAGAAATAAGGCTCGAAGCGGGAGTGTTGGCAAAGAAATCACGCGCTCTTACTGCTAGGCTCAACACCGAGTCCCAGGCAGGAGGCTATGCTGCAAGAGAGGATTTCTGGGTATGAGCAAGCGTAGAGCAGAACACATCCCTCCGTGGGGAGCCGCGAGGTGCTCAGTGGGATGATCCTGTGTCAGCAGAAAGGGTCCAGCTTGTGTCCTCCACACCGCCGACGTGCCAACGCAAAGAGCAAGGTACTAACTTTAGTCCTCAAGCCTAAAGTAAGTGCTCCTGAGCAAATGAAGTGTGTAAAGGAAAAGCAGGATTTGCTAGGGGACATAAGAAAGGTCAAGGTTCCACATGGTGAGAAGGAGAGAGCTTGGTTTGCTAAAAAGGACAGAGTCCCACCATGTCTTGAGAGAAGAGGAGGAAGAGGGCGTCCTCCTGGCGCCAGCGATATCTTGTAAGAGAAGAGCAATGACGATGAGAAGACCAATGCACTGTCCTAATGCTGCATCCCAAGGTTTCTGCCAGGAGATGGCAGGGCACAAAGCTGCTGGAGAGCAGAGCTCACCACGCATGGATCTAGAGCAGCTAGGGATGAAATCTAAAGGTTACCACTTCTAAGAACTGTACAGAAGACTTTGGATGGGACCAAGCCAGGCACCTGGGCCAGGTGACCATCTCCTGACACGGTCCGGAAGGTGTATACAATATACACAACGGTGGGTAGAGTCACCTTCCCACCCAAGTAATAGCCCGAATTTAGATGAACCTGGACCACAGCACTGACATCTCTGCTGGTCCTGCAGTCTGCTCCAGTTGGCAGGCATTGGTGTCCCTGCTTTAACTCAAGGACTGCCTTTAACTGCTCACAAACGCCACCGAAGTGTCACGCTCCCAGCTGCTCAGAGCACAGGGACCCGAACACGCACCCTTCACCCAACGGTGAGGTTACACCGCAGACCAGACCTCTCACTTCAGACCAGGGCAAGATGCCAGCGGGGAGGGGGAGAGAAACCCCGCACACGACTAGTGACAAAGGACCCTCTTCTTCCAGAAGTGGACTTCTAAGCACAACACATGCACACTTGACCTGGAGAAGGCTGAATTTGGGAAGGGCTACAACCAGGGAGAGCTGCATCTGGATCTCCTCAACTAGACGGCAAGCAGGACTCCATGCCATGGCTATAAAAAGCCACTGCTAAGTATTACCAACATCATGGGTTTATCAACAATAGTCTCTGCTTTAGATGGCCATGACCTAGCCCAGCATCGTGACAGCATTTCTTTCCACAGCCCCAGGACAGGCTAAGGTGCCTGTTTCCACTCTGGGGCTCCCAAGTTTGGAGTCCCACCACGCAGGCGAGAAGCCGATGGCGAGCAGCTTTGGGCGCACAGGCTCCACGCCTTGACGGTGCGATGGGAGGAGGACGAAGGCGGCTGCTGGCTGATGGGTGAAAGCAAACACAACACAAGGAGCAGCTCTGGGACTCCTGGAAGCAGTTGATGGTTGATCGGAAAGGCGGTCCAGGTGGGTCACGGATGGGAAGGCTCCCGGGTCCTCCAACGCTCAGATTACGGCAAGCGCTGCAGTGAACTCAGATTAGGGCAAGGGGCTGCACATCAAAACATCTTAGAGGGCACGGGCCTGCTGAGGAGGGAAAAGCCTTTGTATCTGAGTGGTCGAGCATCTTTCCTACGCTGCTCCTATCTCCAGGACTTCGACGTACGCCCAGGCACAGACCACAGAGGCTCGCCGCGGGAGAGCATCCCCGTACATGCTCTGCTGGCTGCGCGACGCTGGCATCTTGGCTGGGGACAAGTCAGGCTCCTACGGGGAGGACTGAACGGCTGCCACATGCTGCTGCAAGTGCCCTGGGAGGTGTCAAGCCAAGCTCCAGAGCCGCAGCGAAGAATTTGCTCCACTCACCTAACGGACCCAAATCAGCCAGGAAAGCACGGAGCTGCCTGCTTCAACCACGTGTTCAGCACCCGCAAGAGAAGAAGCAGCTAGGGTGTATTTTGCACAGCCCACCCCGATGTGCCGCAGGTTGCTCGGCGGCTACACAGCGCTGGGAAGCCAAGGTGCCGGCGCGCTGCGTCAGCCCTGCTCCCGGTGCGGCAGGACCTGCGGTCTCTACATCTCGAAACGTTCTCATGAGTCCGGGCTGAAGCCACCGTGCCGGGGCAGCCCCGACGCTGCAAAGCAGCGCAGGCTTCTCCTCGGAGACAGCCTCTGCTCGGCTGGCCACGCGCTGCACCTAGTGCTACCAGCTCCCTCGCCTCACTCGTAGTTTGGGTCCGATTAACGGCCTGACGGTGCTAAACTGCACGCTTTAAATGCAAAAGCTGTTAGGACTGAGAAGGTCTGAAGCACATACTGGTTTCGAGGTTTTTATTTCAAGAAAAGATTAAAGAATTAAAATAGGAGCTGCCCTGCTGACAAGAAGAGTTGAATTCAAGAAGCTGATAAAAAAGGAGCATTATATGCATTGAGCACTGTGCATTTTCAGTCAATATTGGCTCTACTTTCTACTCTACTTTCCTTGGACTAGGAAAAGGGAGTTTCACATGCGCACAGACCCTGGGATACACGGGACTCAATGAGAGGAAGGAAAAAAAAAAAAAAAAAAAAAAAGACAGTGCTGGGCTTGATCTAACAGAGGCAAGAAAGTGATCTCACAGCTCGGCCCCCGAAACACCGACTCCGACCACCAGCGAGACGGGAGGCAAAGACATGCCAACGGGGCGGACTCGACGGCGCACGTGAGTATCTGCAGCTCCCTATCCATGACCACCTGGGCAGCCACCGAAGCTCAGTGGGCTTCAGCGTCGCCTACATTCAGGACACGGCACAGTCACAGGGCGGGAGGATCATTTCTTGCATCCTTCTCCAGCGAGACGTCAGTGTTGGTACCTCCAGGCTGCGTGCGCCGGCACGGGCTTGCGCTCCCCAACAGCTTCCCCCAGGCTTTTCCCCCCTTGTAGGTGCAAGTAATGCAATCGAGATCAACGGTTAGATTAGGCTCCTGGCGTGCTCTGAGCACTGGGTCTCTTGACAGCAGTAAGAGCTCGGTATGGCCGATACCACCCAGGCCCTGCTTGCGTACCAAAACGGTTGGTACGACAGAGCTAGCTTATTAACAGGCTACTGAGCCTTAATACTGACACTTAGTGTAATGGGTTACAGTAAAGGAAAGATTCTCCTACAAAGCGCCGAAGAAAGGGGAGAAAACCCCACCCCGATCCCTTCCTCTCCCTCTCAGAGTCTCTGGAGCGTCTCACAAGCAGGGAAAGGTGCTGGGGAGGCGAGGGGGGCGGCGGGGGG